TTGACAGTGCGTTAGGCTTTTAAGTTTCCAGTGTACGTGTATAATTCGTTTGAAACAAAAATATATATACATACATGTAACGTATGAATTGAGTGTAGACGCAAGAGAGCTGCGTCCAGTTCCGGCAAATTTGAAGCTTATAAATGTGTCAGGATTTCTCATATACGATATTAATTCGATTTCAATGCGACAGTCAAGGGATCAAATTGTAGTCGCTGAAAGTTTCGAATTGACATGTTCAAGAGTCCGTTCAATTTTATTCGCATAAATTACACTTCTTTTCGGTCGCCATGGAATTATAAATTATTGATCTAACGAAGATCGCGTACACGTTGGTTCCCGGCACGCCAGGCAGCAATTCGAATTCGTCGTGTAATGATCTTTCGAATGTAGTCGACGAAAATGTTGAAAGCCAAGAGGAAGAAACGCAAGGGCGGTAAGAAAAAGGCGAAAAAGAAATGTATGGATGAAAGGGAGACTGTATCCTACGAACAAGAGATTTTGGACAACAACAGGCAATTGGCGCGGTAAATATATGTATAATGCTGGAATTAATCCGGTCGACCAATACAGATTTCTACCACCGATATACGAATCTAGTCGTGTTAAGTTTTCTTTAAATTTAACATGCTTTTATCGTTTATAGTATCTAGGAATATAAAAAGAACATACAACCATTAATATGACAGTCTAAATAAATGATGGTTCTTTGAAAGCCAGGCTGAGAACTCGAAACGAAGAATTAGAGTTAGAAGCGAAGCAAGTGAAAGACAAGTTTCGACAACTAGAAGAGGATCGGTCAGATGTGATCGCTCATTTGAAAAGGAACTTGGAGGAGAGGATAGAGGAATCAAAGGAACTCGCTGAAAGACTTTCAGCCTTGGAAGAGTTGCGAAAGGAAGAACTGGCCGCGTACAAGAGAAAAGAAGAATCAATGGAACTCGAATACCGCACAATGGAGAATAACTTGAACGCTGAAGTTAAATTAATAAGTGAAGTCAAGTACATACTTCTGAATTTGCATTTAATTTTCATTTAAAACAAGTTTGTTTTCTACACTTTCGCTGCTTTCGTGCTACGTCGTTCATTTTGTTTCGTTAAAAAACATTGATTTTGTTAATGCGTTAAGTTGAAATTTCCTTAAGAATATAATTTCATTTGGGAGAACTATTGGAAATGGTTGATGTTCGTTTATTTACTTATATACAATGGTGTTTTCAATTAGCCGGTAAACTAAATGCTCTGGAAGATTGGCGAATAGCGCGGCAAGATCTAATGCAGAAGTTCGAGGTTCAAGAGAAAGAAATTATAGACCAAGAGAAGAGGCACCAGAACGAGCTTTATGAAGCGGAGAAATCACTGGTCATTGGAAAAGCAATGTACGCATATTTTTTGAAAATTAAAATATTTTCCTTCTATTTATAATTCAATAGGATGAAGAAAGAAATGGAGGAACATCTGAAGACATTAGCTGTATCTCTTCGCAAAGCAACTAATTTACGAGTAGCAGAGGCCACGAATCGCGCGATCAGGGAAAACGTGGCACTGAATTTAGAACTTGATGATCTAGTGAAAACTTGCAAAGAACTTGAGATCACCAGCAGGGACAGCAAAGAAAAGGAGCGTACACTGAAATTGCAGTGTGAATTGTTCGAAACGGAATCAAAAGTAACTTTAAATATGGCGATTAAACAAAGAGACGCTATTCACAAATTGTCAAATGTAAGATTTTCATTTAATTTTTTTATTGCTGTTTGAAAATATGAAAATATTTAAATATCATAGGACTTTCAATCAATGTTATGGTATTATGGGAAAGCTGAGAGAGACAATGCTAGAATTGCTGTGTATGAATCAACTATTGAGAATTACAAAAAAAATAGTGAAATGATGGAACAGAAAATTGATTTTCTGAAAAAATGTATATCGAAAGCGAGGATCGATAGAGAACAATTATTGTCGCAAGTTTGTGAAAAAGATGAAAAATTGAAGATGCTTAAAGATCTTTTGCACCGCGTAAGAAGTTGCATTTTGAAGGCTTTAGAGGTGAACGGTTTTTAAACAGATTAATCTGTAATTTCTATACTTGTCTGCCATGTACATGTTAAAGTTCTTTTGAACACAAGTATATAACAGACTCATTTGTTATGGTTTATAAGGAATCATATTCTTTGTAACAAATTTATTTTATTTTCACAGCTCAAAGGAGACATTTCAAGTAAAGATTATTGTGCCTCCCAACTAAAACAGCAGTTTCTTCAGTGCCTGTGGGAAATACTGGAAAGCAATAACATGATCAACATTGTAGAGTATTCTGCGTCACAGGTATATTAGTAGATAAAAGTAAAACGTAATAGTTTAAATTTTGAAACGTTACTTCAGCAGGAATTTATTTCCTCTGATAAAGGTTAATACTTTATAAAGATCTTGTATTGGTGATCTTCTCATTGTTCTCAATTTAAAAAAGAAAATAAGAACAAGTGTCAATCAACCAAAATTGGTTTGAGTTGGAGTTTCACGAAATTACAAGGGGAATCTTGTATTGTTTTATTTGATTAATATAGGTTATTATCTATATATTACATGTACGTATACGTTTTATAGATTGAAAATATCACGTGTCATTACTCGGAAGGTGATCTGGGCCTTATCGAACCACTGAAAACTTGCAAATGTGAAAACGAAGAGAGAGGAGATACGGTTAAATGCAGTGTAAAACCGCAGTCTATGGATTGTTTAGTGGAGAAGCGACTATCTTCTTCAGATAGTGATATCAGTTCCAGTATTCAATCGCCGAAAGAATCAATATCCTAATTGAAATTATAATTTCTAATTATTCTTGTTATCTTTTTCGTTACACATAGTCAAATATACTGTATAAATATTTTTTACGTTAGGGAAATATTAGGTTATCTCTGCGGGACAATTCATTGTTAGTGTGTTTCGTACCGTACAGGTTAGGAACAGTTGGCTTTTAAATTATTAATAGTAGGAAGAAATAAACAAAATGCCTCCAAAAAAAAGTCAGGCGAGGTTAGTGAAGTTTTTGTCTAATATTTAATTATCACTTTTTTTTCGTTACTTTTTTATAAAATGAAATAATAACATAAATGTTTTAATAATTATAATAATATAAAATTAGAAAGAAAAAGTTGAAAGAGAAGGAAAAGAAAGAAGATACGAGGGAAGCAGAGTACCTAGATGATATCATCATAGATGAACAAAAGAATGTTGCAAAAGATTTTGATTTCCTTATGAATGCTCCAGTTTCTGAAGACAATTATTTTATTCCACAATCAGAAAAAAGTTGGACCATCGATACTTCTAAATATTCCGAGTACTTTACACTTGATTTGAAAATTTTATCAGCGGCGATCGAGTCGATTCCATTCAATGAAAATGTTAATATAAACACTAAGTATTTTACTGTAAGTTCAATAACTCTTAAGTACTATTTTCTTTAAACTTATTAATTCTGTTCAAAGAAGTTTATAATGTTCATAATAAAAACTGTTACTGTTTATAATTCTAGAATGATCAGTTAACAAACATTTTTAATATAGCCGAACAGGGTGAACAAAAATATAATGAGATTCTAAATAATTTAGGAATGGATGTTTTAAATAATACAAAAAGTGTAGAAAGAAGTCAGGATTCTGTGGATGATACAGCTGAAGATTTAGACTTTTTATTATTGCTTAAAGAACCTGTGGATGAATATTTAATAACAGTGAAATCTTTACCTACATCTTCTAATGCTGGTACAGACATAAAAAAAAATTTAATAGAATAATATCCAGATGATGATTTTTGTATGCTCATTAATTCAGTGAGTATCTTTTACAGATACAAAGAAAGTAACTAAATCTGGTACATCTGTAAAATCTATAGATCTGGAGAAATGGTTGGATACTATATTAGATGATTAAGTAAAGGTATTATTACATCTTTTTTGAAAATCATAACAATATGTTGCTAATGATAATAAATGCATATAATGAATCTATGTTAGCCTAGAATTGCCGTTACTAAGAAAATGTCATAGTAAGGTATGATTTCATATGTTCATAAACTATAAGCATAATAGCACCACCTGGCCCTAATCGCAAAATCTTTGGTACCAATCCTTTATATAAGGCTTTAAATCTGAAATATAAATATTCATTAGAAATATATCAAAAAACAAAAATTAATTAAAGTATCGTTAAGATAAAGCAAAGAAATAGGATTAAAGTTTTTGTATCATGTCTTACCCTTCTCTTTGATAAACTATAACAATTGTGTGTAGGGTTCCTCTGTATTGAACTTCACCTTGAGGTCCTTGTATACGACTTTTAGCAACATCGAATGGTATATTCATACAGGATGCCAGTGTTCCTGACATAAAACCTATGAAAAACTAAAAAGTTGACTAAATTAATATTAACTTTAAAAAATCTAGTACTTAACATTTAATTCAAACATTGTAACTTTTTTTGTTTTTCTCAGTGTGTAGCAGTGGCAAAGTATACCTTGAATGCCAGTTCTGGAATATAATCCTGCTGTATCTTCGTCCATGGAAGAAGAGTGTTATAAATGCCAAAGTAAAATGTATTAAAAACGCCATTTCGCATTATTGTGGCGGTTAAACCTCTGTTGAGGCCATTCAATCCAAATCCTTGCTGGGCCAGAATGCGTCGGGTCACAGCAAAAGTGGATGGACTGAGTTTTACATGTTTACGATCAGACTGCATTTGTACTTTAACTGTTTCGAATGGATTTACTAAAATACCCTCTGTCACGCCTGTTAAGAAGCCAGCATAATAAAATACCTGAAAGAGGTATTGTACTATCATTAATAATATACATTATATTTGTTTCCCTGGATTGAACTTCATCGACGTGTTTTACTAACTGTATTAATCAAAAAGATATACAGTAGACAATTTAAAAATATAAATGTATAGATATAACCCAGATACGATAGTAAAACAAACAGTGCTCTTCGAATCTGTCTGATAACACTGCTATTATATAACAACAATTAGAAAGAATATCTGTTTCATACAATGTTTTGGAAAGGTTTTCAATATTATATGTACCATTGTTTTCGATGAACTATCGTTAAATAATTTTTTGTACTGCTCGAAGGAGAAAAACTGAAAGAAATTTATTGCCATTATTTGAGAAGCAATACGTACGCTATGAAACTTCATTCTTTTGCTTCAAGTGTGTAGAGTACCATTTAATTGAAATACAAATTACATACTTTTAAGGCCCTCTTTGGTGTTTCCATGAGAATAGGAGGTAATATACCTTTCCAGAATGCTGCAAACCCTTCATTTATATACATTTTTCGTATGCAGTCACGAATTCCTACAGTAGAAATATTAACAGAACCATTTCGTATAAACAATTGACAAAAAGTAATAAAATGCTCCAACAAATATTAATAAAATAATATAAACAAATCAATGATACAATGCCTGTATAATAAAGAGCATCATTTTGCACAATTTTGACTTGTAGTTGAAAACGTGTTTTTATGAGATCCATTGGATGCATTATGCAGGCCTCGACAAAGCCTGCAGAGGCTCCTGCGCCAATCTGAATTGTAGCTTCTTGTAGAAAATTTGATTTATGTTGGCTGTAGGCCATTTTAATAGCTTTGCTCCAACGGATATTCGTTGCAAACAGATTATTATATTACTTCCTTGGTAAATAATCACTCTTCTCGATGGAAATGAAATAATATTTTTTTGTATAAGTCTCCTAATTTTACTGCACTTTCTAAGGTAAACATAAAAATAACTTATAACTTAAAAGTATAATGCAACAATTACAAAGTTCTTAAAAGAAAGCAAAAGAAGCATTATTATAAACACCAAAAAGAAAGAAACAACTAAAAGTAATTACCCCTTTTGATACTTGACTTTACAACAAGATTCAGAAACATATTTCAAGGAGAAGTAGATAAATGTATAATGCTCAGTATGATGTAGTAGTATCCTAAAATATCTTATCTCAGCGTACATTGCGTAATTAAAAGAACTAACAAAATCGTTGATAAAGAGAATCTATGGAAATAATTTACATAATTACCGTCTCCTCGGTTACTTTTCTTATACATAATTACAATATGATCTTACAGAATTTAAATATAGCTACGTTGTTTAATAAACATTATTCATGCATAATTCATACAACATACTCGCAAACACACACATACGTTGGTTAAAAAAGAAGAAAGAGTAGGTTTACAATATCGAGCAAAGTTTCTTTTATTATTAAAATTCTGTTTGTTGAAATCATGGAATACGCCATGGAATGCATTACGAAAATATCGTTTTTAAAAGTGCTGTACTTAATACGTTCAGAGGCGTTAATTAAAATGCAACACGTAAAGGATTAAAAACAGAGATTCGAAACATTCGGTTAATCAACTGTGTTTAATACATAGTCTGATACAGTTAGAATGAAGCCCATTGTGATGAGTTCTCACGATTGAATCGATTAAATAGATAATTCTATCTGTTACTAGAAACGACCACAGATAACAACGAAGTCTTTGTTCACCTTCGTGATATTCCAACTATTCTTTGAAGCGAGCCGTTCTTAAAACCTTGAGTCATTATCGCGGCCATTTTGTTGTTAGATATTCTAATAATCATCCCGATGTCAAGTTTCGTCGCCGCGAGCCACACTGCTGATACACAGACAGCGACGAAGCGTCATTTTAGTAATAGCCGCTTCGTGTTATGTCTTGCCATATTTTTGTTATAATTTTCATATCGACAAGTTCTTAACAACATGGAGGTTAAACGGAGAAAGGTTTGTTTCTAGTATTTTTTTTCTTTTTAATAAATATCGCGTACATCGTTGCAGTAGTTTCGCTGGTATACTAAAACGGTAGTGAATATTGCATAGTTTTTACAAAAAATGGTTGGCCTCGTGCAACGTACATTTAACGGTACATAATTAACCGTTTAAAATTTCACTTGGTACATAATGGCAATAGTTGTCTCGCGAATTAACATATTTTCAATGTTGCTGTACAAATTAATTTTGAAATGGTCGTCAACTTCCTCTATGAAGTTTAGTTGGAAAGGTATTACCTTCTGCACGCAATTAATTACGTAATTTTTAAAGAAATAAAATGTGCGAATACGTGAATGTTGCTGAACAATGTAACTGACACGAGAAACTTGAATTTTGAAATGTCTAGTACCATATAATTTACAGTTTTGTCTTATAAATTATACACGAATGTCATTCCGTTCTGTAGAGTCATTGGAATTGCAATTGATCCGAGATCCTAACTCGAGACAACTTCATCATGTTGGCAATGATGTTTTTCGATTTAAAAATAAGGAATTTAAAATATGACTATTTTATTGCACGATTATATTATATTTGTTTGATGTTGGACACGTAGTAAGTAAAATTGATTAAACTTATTAATTTTTATTTTCGGTTTTACGTTACATCGCATCATTATCGTGTCAAGTACTATGCAAATATGTATGAACATTTATTGCTTCCCAATTAATGTATATAAATTTTAGTATCGTATGCATTTGCAATTTACGTTGTAACAAAATTGGTCAGTGCGAAGAAATGTATGAATGAATTTAAAAATAACGTATACTGCGTATAATATCAGTAACAGAATACTATGGAATATTTCGAGTATTTCGAACATATCATTTTAATATATAAAATAGATTTAATTAATATTCCAATGCAGCTTTATATATGTTTACCATAAGAACAAAAGCTAGGAAGTAAAATTCTATAAAAATTTTAGTACACCCGTTACATTGTGTCAAAGATTTTCCTTTTCCTAAGTGCGTGAACTGGTATTTATTTTTTTGAATTTTCTGCGAATGAACAAAAACTGCCGTCGTCACGTATTCTAGCTATTCGTACTCTAAATTAGATGCAATATATTCCAGTAAGTTTGAAATTCAATTCATTTTGCATACGAAATTAAGGCGACTTAATATCTGTATAATTTCGAATGTTGATGTCTTTGAGGTTATTCAATCTTTTATCTTTATTGGCATTGAATTTTAAAATTGCACGAAAATTTTTATTTTCGTTTCATTGTTTTTATACTTGCTTGTATATTAAAATAAGAAAAAATTCAGTACCTGAATGTTTTGAGGATAGAAGACAGATTTCATATAATTGTATATGAAATTCAAGATCGCTTGAAGAATTAATGAAATTTAATTGTTCTACTTACTATAGAACTGTTAATCGTAAATAAACAATTGTGTTTTCAGTTAAAAACAGAAAATGATGATATTTACGAAGGAGAAACAAAGATACGGCCAAAGAAGGGTCAGCCAAGCAGAAGATACTTTATGGTTGTGGCTTTGTTGGGAATCTTATTTTTGGGATACATAGCAATAGCGTATGATTTATTTGTCCTTGGATTTCTCGACTGTAAGAGACTGTTGTATTAAATTATACTTAAACCGAATCTTCTTCTTGCAGGTATGATTTCAAGCCTGTACGTCTTGGTAGCAAGGCGATTGATACGTTGGCTTTATCCTTGAGTCTGCAATCACGGTTTTATGTTGTAGTTGTTGATGCAGGCTCTACCGGCAGTCGTGCTTTAGCCTTTAGTTTTTATGAGTCTGTTCTTGGTGGGAATTTGATATTAGATGGTGAACATTATTTTCAAACTGAACCAGGCCTAAGCGCTTACGCGGACAAGCCAAAAGAATCAGCCAAGTCCCTTATCGTATTATTAGATAAAGTAAAAGCAGTTATTCCACAATCGGAATGGCAGCATACTCCATTGAGTATGAGAGCCACTGCTGGGTTGAGACTTCTTCCTGGGCACAAGGCTGAAGACATATTGCAAGAATGTAAAAAGTTATTTGAAAATTCTGGTTTCCACGTATGTAGAAGTAGTATTCATGAATATACATGTTCATGGAACTTTGAATCGAGTATTTATCGTCCGCTATACATTCTAGGTTTCTAAAAATTCAATTTCTATAATGGAAGGAACAGATGAGGGTATTTTCTCTTGGTTCACTGTAAACTTTTTACTCGACCGGTTTAGCACGCACAATCCTGGAAACACTGTTGCCGCGCTAGACCTCGGAGGAGGTTCTACGCAAGTTACATACTCTCCTGATGCTACACAGGTACAAGTATTGTCTTAATAAATAAAAAACTTGGCAAAGTTTGGAATAAAACATTTCTTAATATATCTGTTCAGGAGAAGAAGCTCGATGGACACATATATTCTGTGAATATTTTCAACCACAATATGAGTGTATACACGCACAGCTACTTGGGCATGGGACTTATGGCTGCTAGAAAAGAGATTGTAACTCACGGGATGAAATTGAATAATGTTAATCCACGAGCGAATATAGAAGTACGGTCTGAATGTATAAATCCCATAATTTCCACCGAATGGAGTTACGGAGGATTTAATTATCTAGTCAAAGGCCCCATTAGCGGGACGCACAAATTAGTGAAGACTCAAAACTTTGCTGGTGGCGAAGAAGATCGGCCCATCGTTAATTTTTCGGAATGCCTAAAGATCATCGAAAAGTATGCCAGTAAAATTAAAAATAAACCAGAAGGTTTGAAGGACCACGAGATCTATGCATTTTCTTATTATTTCGATCGTGCCACAGAGGTATAGTTGTTTCTGTAAAATGATTAGTGTAAAAGATATAGTTTCCAAGTAACGAATGTCTCAGGTTAGTCTGGTGGATCCGTTTTTCGGCGGAGTTGTCCAAGTAAGCGAATTCCTTAAACAGGCGACGGAGGCCTGCAATTACGCAAACACCGACCAGCCTTTCACGTGTCTTGATTTGACGTACATTTATGTTCTTCTTCGTGATGTATTTGGTCTTGAACCGACAACAAAGCTATACGTAAGAATGCCTGCTTTATATATACTTGTAACGGTAAGAAACTCGATTGATTAATGTTCTTAAATTAACATTCACCTGCTTTATTTTAATAACAGCTATACAAGAAGATAAACGGACACGAACTGAGTTGGGCGCTTGGTGCTGCCTTCAACATAATCCAAAACGGTCTTTAACGCACCTGGAACATAGATAAAGAATTCTAAATATTTTTGCACAAAATTGTTAGAACTTCTTACTTGTGGTGGAGCCACTTAACGTAGGTAGGAACTGTTAATCTATCATCACATTCATTGTTAATTAAGACGTAACATTCGGAGTGACGAGATATTAGAAACAGTGAATGTGTTTAAGATTCCTAATCGGAGAATCTTAATGTATCGGATATCTCAACTCTCTATCAGGTACCTCTTCTTTATCTACATCTGTTTTTGTTTTAATGAAATTTTAACTGCCGATCGGTGCACAGTGAAATAAAAGGAAGCAATTAGATTAGATCCGTTTAATATCGAAGATATTAATTTATCCGTTTTAATAGTATATCGTACAACGAGTTTATCATTTTAAAAATATTAATGACCGTTAGTGTATGCTTATCGCGCTAATCACAAATCGTCGAGGAGATTCTCATGACTGGGATTGGCCATATCTCTCATTGTGATAGAAAGGAGACAAGAGTAGTATGAATGAAATATAATTGATTTACTATGGATGTTTCCTATTATTTTACGAGTACAATGATACATTTGCAACCTGAAGTTACAATTTTTAAAAGTAAAAAATATATATACACAGATATATATATGTATATATATATATATTCTTATTTAAAAACTGGCACCGAAGTGTATTATCGCTACATATCAGAAACATTTTTAAAATGAACAGGTTTGCAGTTAATAATACGTCGATACTTGAATATTCATTTTACAATGACTGTGTTCACGAAATAGTACGTCGTCGGTCCATGATTGTAATTTAGTTGGTAAACTGGTAGTTCATGTTGACTTTGAAATTCAAATTCTTTTCGAAGGAATCGTTATAGTTTTCGAAGATTGAACGAGTAGCTGTAAGGGGAGTAGAGTGCACGAAACGCTGTTTAGGTAGTTGCGAAAAGACAGTCGTTCTGTAAGGTATAGTTCCTCTGTAACCTTTTAACCTATCATTTAGACTACGTAGAACTTAATATTTAATTTTGAATTTCAAGGTCGAGACGAGTTGTTATAGTTGCTATTTTTGTTACTACTTGTTTAGAAGTTATCACTCGAATCAACCAGATTTCTGAAGCAATCGCGTATACCTGTAATAAGATTAGTACGATCAGTAGAACTGTTCTCACCAAGGAAACGTTTTATCGGAGAAACACCATTTGTTTATATGTTTAAAGTATAAGCTCTGTTTCGAGCGTGGAGAGATTACACTGTTTCGCTGCAATTAACCAGGTAATTTTGATTTTTAAGGGCTGGGTTCTCATTCCTTCTTTATCAATGAACAAAATGCCCGCAGTAACATACAGAGTGTGCTGTTGGCGAAAGCTGTTCCCGGACAATCTAATTTTTTACTGCGGTATTTCGAGCGAGATACTTGTAATTTTTAATGGTTTCGCACAAACGTTTGTACAAGATAAATTGTAACATGATCATCATTAGGTCCTAAGTATTTTTACATTAAAACTATGGTTAATACGAATTTTATCGATTGACGAATTGAATACATATATTTTCATTGGTAGAATTTTCTTCGCTTAACGAGTTTGGAATTTTCCTTCCCCACATATCCTTGCCGTGTGTTGTGATTAATTTGTACTACGAGAAGAGGAACATGTTACAGGTAATATTAATACGCTACACAATTAAATAATACGTTATAATGTGTTATACAATTATCAATTGCGTATAATTACATTCCACCTTAGCGTGCACTAACACAATACTTTTTACATGTTTAGACGATACACGGTAGTTAGTAAGTAGAGCGAGGGACATCATCTCTCGCGACGAGACGAGAAGAATAATGCCCCCTGTAATTATGCCGATGATGCAACGATTCAAGTAACAATCGAGATAGTAATAAATGGCGACAGTTGGGCAAGTGACCTGCACTTATCCGATGACAGCAATACTACCAGTAACTATAGCTTCTGGCTAACATTGAAAGTTTCGCAAACGATACGCGTTACGTCTTCTCGTTTTATACTAGATTCAAGGTAATCGAATATTACCCAACACTTCCAATGGTACGGAAATAATAAGATTTTGTAAAAATTCGAAAACACTGCTCCCTGTTTCATAAATTGCCGTTAAAAGTAATACATCCTCGAGTGAACGGAAAGATTCACAGTTGTCTCTTTGAAAATAATATTTCGCACGAGGAAACCTAATCGTTGCGAAACTCGGATCGTTGGAAAATCAAAGATTCGAAGCACCAGTTGGAATTGGCACGTCTATCGGATACGGTAGCATCTCGTTAGAACATTTGAACGAGTTCAACCGAGAAGCGAAGCCCTCGTTGCTCGAGTTCTCCGGATAAAGAAGAAACGGAGGCGGAGCTCTGGTTTTTCTATCGTTAAATTTAGCGTGCAACGACATAAAACGGGTAAACGTTACATTGGGCAACGTCGGACGAGCTAGAAAACGTTGTGTCCCAATGATGGGCCACGCCACCCCGTGCCGTGGGAATTCCCGGGCCGCAGTCCAACGACTCCACGCGTCGGCGTGAACGCCGCGTTACCGTTGCGTTACGCGTGCACACCGAAAGATTCCTATCGGGAGACCGCGCTCGGTGTCCCATTATTAACCCCGAGCGACTTATCTGCTCGCCTAACCGTCCGCTATCGATGTTTCTCTTTGAAAAATAATTCCTTGTAATATCTCTTGTAATCGATAGGCTCGACCGCTTTACATAACAATTTCCATACGCAACCATTGCTCGGCAAGATACTGGAAGAACCACGAGTTGCCGTAACTTGACTCGTTTTACTTTTGCAGATGCAGGATCAACGAGAAAACGTGTATCCTGCATGACAGGACAGAAGTTTTGTTATTCGGTCATCGACAGGAGCAATGCCAGGTATGCGAGGAAAGTTTCCAACGAGAATAGTCCCAAGCTAGTTTGCGCACAGGCAAATGGAAAGAGAGCGTCGGCCGGTTTGCCAGTAAGAATAATTGGTAACTCTTATTTTCATGAAAGTAAATTCTGAAGGCTGCCTGGCGAAGCTCTCGACCTCCGGGACGTTCTTGGGAAGAAAGGACGAGAGAGAGAGAGAGAGAGAGAGAAAAGAGGAGAGAAGAGGAGAGGAGGGGACTGTATCTGGCAGTCGTCTTCATCTTGATTAGTGGCTGTTTAAGAATAGTGAAAGTTTCTCTGGCTTGCGTCACGACGCCTTTCCCGAAGACGACGCGGAAATCGACGCCTTCCTCTTACACGGACGATCGATCTTTTCCGCAGTTATCGCTAACGTTCACGCGCTTCTCGAGCCGCCATATTGGTTCACCGTGCACCTTCCTTTTCTTCGCTTTTTCTCATTTGTTTATTTATAAGGTTTCGGTCGGCGCGTCGCGACTTCCGTTTCCTTTGCACGTTTATGGTCGAGGACATTATCGGTTGCTGGTACTTTACAGTTGCTGTTTCTTTTAACATTTTCTCCCTTTAATCGTTACTCGACCAGTCTTTTCTTAACACTGGAATTATTGGAAAGCTGCAAATTCATGTTTCAACGAATGTATTTTAAACAGAGTCGAGCGTTTTAGAGCATTCGGTCCACGACACCTGCAGATGCGATCAAAGTGAAAGACGAGCGCAGACATGAAATATCATAAGTTCAATAGATTGCAGTTCCGACCGCTGGGACATTGACTAATAGCATTAATCTTGTTTGCAGGCGACGGGTCGGTGAGAAACGCTTCGTCGAATCACCTTATCGTCGATGAACGTTTGACCTCGAGAGAGTATTGTTTATCTGCTGAAAGAAAGATTGGACCGATCGAATTAACGCGTGCATGTAAAGTACCGCTGGTCTATCTCTCGATTCCTAATCGCGAGATAAAAGAAACCGGTTTTAATTTTAAATCGCGACCGATAAGCGCGATGTTATCCATGCGGTAAGAGCAATAATATTTTCGTTGGCTCGTTTCTGCTCGTATTGGTCAGTCGATCAAGGTACAACGCGATTTTGCCGTGCGACGTTCGATTAGAATGTGCGAATCGGACAGGAATACCAATAGAGGAGCATCACAGTCTTTCACTAGGTGCTTTCTTTTTAACTTTGACCACCTGTAACGGATGAGTCACGCGTAAGCCGTCACTCGCGTTTAACGTTTAACACGTTCACTGGCACACGAATCTGGAATACCTTACAGTACTACTTACTACTCTATCGTAACAAAGATAAACGATATCGCTTCGAGCTTGTACTCGATAATATTTGATATTTTCGCATTCCCAGGTGAAGAACCGCTCCGGACCAGGGTGGCCACTCACCCCGACGCGTCCGAAATTCGTGCCGATTCTTCGAAGGAGGTCAACGAATGACCTTTCAAGAGCCAGCAGCCGGACGTCTCTCCTCGTCGCTGTTTGATCCCGCGGGCCCGAGTCGCAGGAAGCCGAAAAATCGCACCGCGTGAAAGTTGCCTCTTGGCAGACGTTCTCCTCGCCTCTGCCGCCTCTCCCTCTCTCCCTCTCCCTCTCCCTTTGTCCGTCGGTCTGTTGCTCTCTCAGTCGGACGGTTAGTTTTCCAGGGTTTCTCAGGTAAAGGTTTCTTACGAGAGCATCTTCTCTCGGCTGCGTAAGAACGTGAGAGAGAGCCCGCTTTCGTTTCCTCCTTCTTCCTTTCTCGGCCGCTAACCCATCCCGCTTTCCCCACGATTCATACGTGCGCCGGCCGAACGATCGTCGTCCTTCCCGTTCCTCTCTTCGTCCTTCCGCCTGTGTTCCATTGATCGTTCGTCGCCGGGTTTCTCGTTCTCGTTCTATCCTCAGCCGCTTTTTGTTGCAGGGGATCGTTGAACGATGCCGCTTTTACCGACGACCTGGCCAGCCTCGTCCGGACTGCGCGCCGATGGACCGCGGATTATTTATTTATTCTTAGCGAGCGTCGATTCGATTTATCGGTTATCGAAGCGTTGAAAAATGCGAAAATATGAAAAGTCAGAATCGCATTTGCTTGCGAGCGACTCAATCGTGTTTCCGTGCGATCCGGAAGCGGCAAGCGTTGGCGGCCACCGTGACAGTTGACGCGTTAAACGGCCGAGGAACCGGCGATCATCGGCCATCATCGTGTAAAACGGCGCCGAACGCCTCGCGTTTTATGGGACCATCGCGTAGAAATTAATTGGCGCGCGTCACGGGGCGGATTACTTTTGATATTGAACTTAAAACAGGAAATTCGAAACCTGTTTCACTACGGTGGCAACGACCACCGGCAGCGCGGTTACTCGATTTTATCGGTTGGATTAAGTGTTACAGAGTCGTTATACGGATCGGGCGCTATTTACATTTATTATTCTCGGTTAGATCAGCTTTTAGATTAGTTTTTAAATAGCCGCGATAGTCGCGGGAGTATGTTGATCGCGCGAGATCGGTAGTTCCAGCGTTAGAAACCCATAGTCGATTTAGAATCGTACGAGAAGGGTAGAGGAACTCGCGGACTGGATTACGCTCGCCGCGAAATTTCGCAAATCCGTTGCAACCGGGACGGCGAAGAAAATTCTAGACCGTCGTGATTGCTTACCGCTAGGCCCTGCGCGTTCCGCGACCTCGTTGCTTGCGTTCAGCTGCGTTTTCAAACAAGCTGGGTCACGCATTGCCCACGCATCGCATCGGCTTGCACCGTGATATATCTTAGGGACCGCTTATTTTCATGCGCTCGTGGAACATTTCAAATGAACATTTTCAAAGTAAAATTACACTAAACGCCATTACCTGACGCGAAAAAAACGTATAAAATATTCAAACTGTAGTGCTTTTTGTTCCTATCGTTATTCTAGTTTGCTAATTATACTCTTGCAAATCAGCGATCCAGTTGTAAAAATGGATCACGCGATTCTTGAGCAATGCGCGCAATTACTGCAATTCTGAACACGGTTTACGTTTTACTCGACTCGCGTTTCTCTTTGAAACTAGAGTTCTAGAAGCTACGAGGTTTCGATTGGCTTAGGTTGTAGACGTTTCTCGAAATTCCGAGAGAAGGAATCGAGGAATGGGTCGCTTTGATGTCCACCTGGTAGTTTTTAATTCTCGATTCGGCAGGAATCCAATCAACGCTAAAATGTTCAATTGTAATAATGCGTCATCTTTACCAAATATAATTGCGCAACTTGTTCAATTATAAGCGCGTAATCTTGTTGGTTACGAATGCTCATTCGTTTGAATGGTTTCTGCTCGGTTCAACGATCAACTGACCAGAAAATATTTGCTTTTAGATAATGATCGATTTCACGGCGAGAAGCGCAGACTAGATCGGATCGACGAGCGAACGAAAAAAACTCCGGATCGATCGACGTCGTCGCGTTGCTTGGCAATTAGACGTTATTCCACGTAGATGCTGACTAAGAAAAAGGAAAGTAGTGAAACGCAATTGGTATTTTGCTATTATGCAGCTTATCGACTCGTTCGGGAACGTTTATTGGCCTTTTGACCTTAGCTTTCACTCGATTAGGTCCTTTTCTTCCTTGTTTCACTGACCGAGCGCGCGCGCGCGCGTGTTCACCTACACTCTGCACCGTCCGGTTTAG